AAAGGCCACAGTGGAAAATCCAGAAACTGTGAGATGAGGAACAGCTATGGAAACCAGAGGAATGAGCCTTTGAGAACAAAAGGCTTTAAGAGGATATGGTGCATTGGACCCAAAGACCTACAAGAGCCTTTGTAAAACAAAAATAGTCAAAATTGGAATTATTACATAGTTACCAATGAAAGGCTAGTTATACTGGTTAATTAAAAAATACACTAGATAAGTGGCTCTCAGCCAAAGGCAATTCTGCCCTCCAGGGGACATGTGGCAACGTCAGGAGACATTTTTGGTTATGACAGCTAGGGAGGGATCATCACCGTCTAGTGGGAAGAGGTAAGGGATGCACCACTGGACAGGCCTCTCTGGAAAAGAATTATCCATCCAAAACACCAGCAGTGCTGACACTGTGAAGCCTGTAGCACACTCTGGGGGCAGGGTATTCATCTATCAGAATTCCTGAGAATCATATCTGGCTTATTATTATCTATTTCACTCATGAAACTTAATTTAATTTCAAACCACATAAGAACAGATGAGATTTGTATGGGTTATAAGGCAAACAGGAAACATGTCCAGCAGACTATCAAGTTTGATCAGAGGGCTATTTACTCTTTGATCTATAAGCAAGAGAAAAGGAAAGCTTTGTTTCAAACAAACCACTGTTTTGCTATCAACATTTTTAAAAAATGGAAAGGAAAATGCAATCAAACAAAAAACTAGGGGTAACATGCTTAAGAACAACTGGTAAAAACTGTTATGAAACTTCCATGCTTCAGTTCAATTTAAACCAATTCTACAAGTTTATACTGAATGTATGTTTAGTCTTCTGTTAGACACCAAATGAATAATACATAATTCCTCAAGGAACTTACATTGTTAGAAATCTCTGTATGTGTGGTTCTAAGTCTATTACCATTTCCAGAACGATGTTCCTTTTTGCTTTGTCTATTAATGTGATGTTAAAAGACTCTAGGAAAATGGTTTTGTTTTTTCTTTTGCGGTTTTTGGCAGGGGCTGGGTTTGAACCCACCACCTCCGGCATATGGGGCCGGCGCCCTACTCCTTGAGCCACAGGTGCTGCCAGCAAAATGTTTCTTACAACTGATTTAAGTATTTTTCTCATAGCTAGGCACATAAAAAAGAGCATACCGTCAACAAAGACCTATTCTTCAGATAGTTATATATTTACTATATAATTTTAGTAAATATCAGGTCTTGTTAACTAAAAGAATAAATTGTTCTGGCTATAAGACAAATCTATTTTCCCAGTTATTATAAGATTGTCAATCTACTCTTCCAACAAAATTAAAGTACATAGCAGATCTGGGTACCATAGCTAGCTCACTATGTTTGAAAATGAACTGAGATTCTGAATAAAGAGCATAGATATGCTGCCAAGATCTTAGGTGTGTCAGGTCCCAGGACTGGCCAGATCTCGGGCCCGGCTTAACTAGGTTCTGGACAGAGACCGCTAAGCTACCTTGCTCAGGAACAATTTCTCTTAGGTGCCAGAGAGCTATTTACTTTAGCTGATGGGGGAGAGTCTTAGAGAGAGTAAAGCAGTCTTAGAAAGAGAGATCTTAGTCTTTAGCAGAGCTTAGTGATCCTCAGCAGAGAGATGCTGTGCTGGCGTTCTGCAGGCAGGAGAGGAGACACAGTCAGAATAAGTGGGGTCCGTGATAGAATGAGCATGCTCCCGACTGCCTTCTCCCCCAGCCTAATATGAGGCTGATCTCGTGCCTCTCACCACCACAGGTGTAGAGACTGCCAATTTACCAATGCTCTCCTCTCGCAAGCTCTCATGCTTGTTAGGAGAGCTAAATCCCTCTCCATGCCCTTTTCACCAAGGTGTTCCATTATTGAGCTATACAAGTATTTCTGCAGGTGTTTTTTTTTGGCCAGGGTTGGGTTTGATCCCACCACCTCCAGTATATGGGGCCAGCGCCCTACTCCTTTGAGCCACAGGTGCCACCCCGCTATATAGGTTATTTCTTATAACTCTCACTCCTCCTAGCCATAGGCTATATGGGCTACTACATAGGTGGACTCAGAGTAAGGTTATTATTGACTTTTCTAGCTGTTGTGGAAATCTATCAAAAGATAGGATTTTAAGTTACAAATATATGGGGATGAATCCTTCCTCTATTGTTCCTAGAGGTAACCTTAGGCAAAGTATTTTAGGCCGTGGATAGAAAACCCACAGCCTTAAGGCCACATGTGGCCTCCTCGGTCCTCAAGTGTGCTTATTACCTGAATCAAAATTTTACAGAACAAATCATTTTATTCCTATTAATGTACGTTTGCCTTTTTATTTTATTTTAAAAGTGAATGTATTTAAAATACCAAAGAATAATATTCATTTCAACAATATAATCCTCCCATATTGACCAGCACAATTACAACATTAGTAAGCTGTAAGAGCTAAACTGATGGCAGCTCTCATCAGGATTTAGTTCTAAATTCCCCTGCCTGACTGGCACCACTACTGCATGAGGCTGGTTAGCAAGAGCTTGTGGGGTTGAGTACACCAGTCTGTTGTCAGATATTCACAAGGATGCACTGTTTCTTACTGGTATTTTAGCTGAGCTCTGAAGACCAGTAGTGGGAAAAGTAAAAAGATGAGGGAAGTCAAGTGAAGAATGTTCCATTCTATGTAGAAGGAATGGCTTGTATGAAGTCCTGGACATGAGCAAGAGCAGATGCATTGTAGCAGGGGTCCTCAAACTTTTTAAACAGGGGCCAGTTCACTGTCCCTCAGACCGCTGGATGGCTGGACTGCAGGCCCCAGGACGAGTCAGCTGCTAAGCAGGACAGGCAGCAGTGGGAAAAACACCCAGCGGGCTGGATAATGTCCTAGGTGGGCTGCATGTGGCCTGCAGGCTGTAGTTTGAGGACGCCTGCGTTGTAGGAAGTGAAAGATCAGCGCAGATGGAGGGCAATATGCCAACAAGAAATGGCAAGAAAGGAAACCAGAAAAAGAGATAAGGGCAAGGTGGTAAAAAGAGTGAAACAGAAAGAGAGCTTGGAGTAAGTGATGGTGATGAAAATGAAATGCAATAAGAATACTGGTTAGCAGCAGGAATAACTCAAATGAACTATGAGAATGGATTGGAAAAAGCTAGCACAAATGAGAATGGAAATAAATAGATTTAAAGGCCAGATAGAATATAGATTCTGCATTTCATGATTAACTGGATGGGAGGAAGCAATAAATAATCAAGAATGACCATGACCCTTAGCTTCTGGCTTAAGAGTCTGGATATGAGAAGGGACAGAAAAGAGATGTCACTCACTGAGCTGGACGGATAGCACTGAGAGGAGTAAACTGGAGAGAAGGAAATAATGAATTCAGTTGTGGACACATGAGTCTGAAATGCCTGGGAGACATCTCAGTAGAGTGGTAGGCAGTTGAATTTATGGATATGAACTGAAGCTATCACTTTGAAAGCAAAATAATGGTACAGCGGATTATGCCTGTAATTCTAGCACTCTGGAAGGCCAACAGAGTGCTCACAAGTTCGGGACCAGCCTGAGCCAGAGTGAGACCTCATCTCTAAAAAAAATAGCCAAGCATTGTGGCAGGAGCCTGTAGTCCCAGCTATTCAGTAGACTGAAGCAAGAGAATCGCTTGAGCCCAAGAGTTTCAGGTTGCTGTGAGCTGGGATGCTACTGCACTCTACCAAGGGTGACAAAGTAAGACTGTCTCAAAAAAAAAAAAAAAAGGCAAAACAATGAATCCTTAGAATTGGATCATCAAGACAGTTGTCATGTGAGGAGAACAGGAATTGGACAAAGGTACAGCTCTCAAGTTAACCATTTAAGGAATAGGTAGAAGAAAAGGAACTTGCAAAAGAAACCATAAGGAACCACAATAATTGGAGAAAATTCAAGATATTACAATATAATCAAAGTCAGGCAAAAACTTGACTTTGATTCAAGAAGAAAGGTGAGGTTGACAGTATAAACCATTAAGGTAAATTAAAGTTAGACAAAGACTATAAAACAGGCAGGTTGGATCTGGCTAAAACACAGACACCTTAGAAGAGCAGTACCATTTAGATAATAGGGGAGACTGAAACAATTTTGCAATGGGTTAAAGATTAAGTGGGAAGTGGGAAACGGAGGTGAATGCTCAAACTCTTTTTACAAGTTTTCACATAAAAGGAAAGGAGAAAGGTGGCACATAGGAGGAAGCCAATGATGAACAAGAAGGGACAAAAAAATATGATCTTTCAAGATACTGGAAAGGACAGAGTCCAGAACACCGAGGAAGAAATAAAGTTTGCAGGCATAAGTAGTTTATAAATCTGAAGAGAAAGGTGACGGAGTTCTTTCTGTTTGTCTCTCTGAGCTCTACAAAATTAAAGACAAGATACTCTGCTAAAAGCATGAACAAAAAGGGAACAGTTGAATGTTTGCAGAGAACAAGAAATATTAGCAATAAATACAGAAATAGAAGAAAGAACTGACCAAGACATAGAAAAGCTGAAAGGCAGTATCTACCTACATGATCGTGGGTTTTGTTTTTCCCCAGTAGGATTTGGCAGCCTGGAAACAAGTACAAAAAAGAAAAAGCCCTAGTTTACTTTCATGAGTGTTGAACTTTCTATCTGAATAACGTGCAAAGATGCTGAAGATAGAATTGGCAAACTTTATCTATAAAGGGTTGGACAGTAAATATTTTAGGCTTTGCAGACATGTGATCTCTGCTTTAACTCCTCACCTCTGCCACTGTGGTGCAAAAACTACAATAGACAATATGTACGTAAATGGGAATAGCTGTGTATTTATAAAAATAGGTGGTAGCTGGATCCAACTCGTGGGGCTGTAATTTACCAACACCTGGTTTAAAAGAAGGTAGTAAAGATAAAAGAAGAGACTGATACCAGAGAAATCGATAGGCTTGAACTTTGAAGAGCTGAAGAACTAGAGGCCAAAATGAAACTTTACGGCATGAACAAACAAAAACACATGTCAGAAGTAATACAGTCTATAAACCAAACCTTTGAGCCTATTTCGCAAACATCAATAGGATCATTATCTCCACAGCAGTTTGTGCTCTTGTCTTTTCGATGGGGATCTTCCCAAGTCTAAAAACAAAACAAAAGAGGCAGAAATACAGGTTAATACTGTAAAGTATCTTAATCCTTCTACATAACTCAAGTTTCACAGATAGCCATAATCCAAAGAACAAAATCTCAGAAATTGCACAGGCTCAAGGCCAACAAGACAGTGTGCTCCTAAGTATCATAATAATTAAAAGAGTTATAGTATTTCCTCCCTTTGTCTCTCATTTGTCATATAATCGCCATCTGAAAGTGGGTGGTATTTATAGACATGTTCTTCTTCCAAGTTTAGCTAGTCACTAAATCCACATTCACTTTTCAGAGTTCCAGTGAGGACGCTGCCATCCTCCTTGCCCTTGTGTCCACATTTCCCCTGATGCCTAAGCTGTGGCTTCCATTGTTTACTGCTTCCTTTGATAGGGTAACAGTACTGGAGTCTAAAATTCCCATCCTTTCAATGACTTTTACTAAAGAAAAGAAAAACCTATTGTGTCTCATTTCATTCCACTTAAATAATCCTCTACTTTTGCTGTCAAATCTCAAGACCTTGATAAAAACATGAAAAGATGCCACTTCTTTAGTTTCCTGCAAGATTAAACTTTGTTGATTATAAAATACATACATGGGTATTTTTGTAAATGGATAGCATAATATAAATGTGACAAGTTTACTACCCCGTAGGTACTACTCATCCCAAAAGCTTCAAAACTGTCTGGTTGCAAACAAAATTGTTGAAGTTTCCTACTTATTGGCTTCAAATTTACATTATAAGGGATATAGAGACTACATCATCTTAAGGTTTCGTTTATCCCTGTTATCTAGGATTTTAGATTATCCAAGTTTATTTATTGTAATTGTATATAATTAAAAATAGACTTTTATTCACAGCTAAACCCTAAATAAACTCAAATATTTTCCTTCTGGCTCTAATTATAGTGTATCTGGGAAAAAATTGACCTAACTGTATTTTCTTTTAAAAAATCAGTAAACTAAGTCCAATAATATTTCACTACCTCAAATACTAAGAATATTAAGAAAACATAAGACATGAAGCCAGTAGACAGTCCAATATGCTCCATGTAAGAGGAAAACTCAATCAACTCAAGGTGGGGGCAGGGGAATATGGGATTGGGAAGAGGGGAGGAGAGCAGTGGATGGGTTTGCTCCAACTTACGGGGCACAGTATTAGGGCATATGGTACACGTCTTGGGAAGTGGGACAGGACACAATTATAAGAGGGTCTTAACAAATGCAAATATTGTAACCTAATTTGTTATACCCTCAATTAACCTCATACAAACTAACAAAAAAAAAAAGGAAAGAAAATATAAGAATAATCATAATTACCTACTGCTTATAGGTGACAGATGCTTTTTCTATTTTTTCTAATTTTTTTTCTCGTAATACTCATAATTCTAGGAATACAGGTGACAATTTCTGTCTGATACACACCGAACATACATATATATGCATGCATACAGCCCATGAGAAATGTACCATAATTCACCCCATTTTTAAATCATATATATATTTAGTTCTGAAGCTTTCTTTCTTTCTTTTTTTAACTGTTGAGGATTCATGGAGGGTACAAAGAACCAGGTTACACTGGTTGCATTTGTTAGGGAAAGTCCCTCTTATAATTGTGTCCCACCACCAAGAGTTGTGTCACACATGATGACCTCCCACGACCACCCCCCCCCACTTCTTCCTTCTCTCCTCTCCCCCATTCTGCCACCCTCTACCCTGTACTAGGTCATCAATTGTCCTCATATTAGAATTGAATACATTGGATTCTTGCTTCTCCATTCTTGTGATGCTTTACTAAGAATAATGTGTTTCAACTCCATTCAGGTGAATACAAAAGATGTAAAGTCTCCATCTTTTTAAGTGGCTGAATAGTAAGTGTTCCACGGTGTACATATACCAAAGCTTGTTAATCCACTCCTGGGTTGGGTTGCATTTAGGCTGTTTCCACATTTTGGCAATTGTAAATCAAGCTGCGATACACAGTCTAGTGCAAATGTCCTTATGATATGATTTTTTTCTCTTCTAGGTAGATGCCCAGTAATGGGATTGCAGGATCAAATAGGAGGTCTAGTTTGAGTTCTGAGGATTCTCCATACTTCCTTCCAAAAAGGTTGTATTAGTTTGCATATTCTGCAGTTTATAGAATGTTCTATAAATGCATGTTAGGTCCTCTCGTTCTAGAGCCCCATTTAAGTCCAATGTTTCTTTGTTGATCTTTTGCCTCCAGGATCTGTCTAGTTCTGTCATTGGAGTGTGAAGTCCCCATCTAATATGATGTTGCCATTTTTTTCTTTAGATCTAGTATAACTGCTTTATTATTATTAATAAAGCAATTATTATTATTGGGAGCTCCTGTGTTAGAGGCATATTATATACATATATATATATATATATTTCTTTTTTGTTAAGAGACAGAGTCTCACTTTGCTGCCCTCAGTAGAGTGCTGTGGCATCACAGCTCACAGCAACCTCCAGCTCATAGGCTTAGGTGATTCTCCTGCCTCGGCCTCCCAAGAGTAGCTGGGACTACAGGCACCTGCCACAATGCCCGGCTATATTTTTTTATTGTTGTAGTTTTGGCCAGGGCCAGGTTCGATCCTGCCACCCTCAGTATATGGGGCCAGCACCTTACCTACTGAGCCTAGAGGCATATATATTTAGGATTGTTTGTTCTTGCTAAACGCATCTCTTTATCATTAATGACCATCTTTGTCTTTTTTTTTTACCATTGTTGATTTAGTCTATTTTATCTGATATCAGAATAGTTACTCCGGCTTGCTTTCTGCAGGCTCCAAATTCCTTGGAAGTTCATCTCTGTTGAAATCTTTCTCCTTGATCTGCTCTACATCTTCTTTCTAAGGAATCTCTGGTAGGTTCTGGCACTTAATCCCTCAGAATCCCACCAGGGCTATGTTTGTGTGTGTGTGTATGTGTGTGTGTGTTTTAATCAAAACTTTTCCTTCTTTCTAGGATGACCTGGCAACTGATATCTCTAGTCAGCCATTTTGCCTCCTTCCACTTATTTTTGATCTAGCCTAAAACAAATCATTTTCATCTTCATGCAGGTTTTTGAGATTATTACCTTACTCTATAAATATTAACTGATCTATCTGTAATCACCATGTTCTAGTCCTTGAGTCTCTTCAAAAAGCACTAAATTTTACAAAATTGTATACACAAGTGGTTCTTGATAACTCCTTCCTGATCAAGCAGTATTCCTATCACCAGCTCAAAGGAAGTAAGATCTACTCAACCACTCCTATACTTTGCCAGCTTCAATTTGGAGTAAGAGCCGCTACCAATGTTTTCACTAGTTACAGCTAACATTAATAGCAACAGTGTCATCACCACTGAGTTAGTATTACTAAGAACTCACTAGGAAGCTGAACCCTTTGCTTCGATCAACTCATTCAATATTCACAATACACTTGTGGGGTGGGGAAGTATGGTCATGCAGGTGAACAAACAGGCCTAGAGAGATTACTATGTATGGCAGGTTACAAAGCTAGTAAGTAGTATTATCTGATATTCTGTTGGGGGGGGTCAATGAGTCAAATTTATGATGATGTTCAAAATAAACACATGGTTTTACATTAAAACTGAAGAAATCTTGAATTTAAAGTGATTCTAGTCTTTTAATATTTTCCTGACAGGCATTCTAAATATTCACTGAGACATAACACTGGAACAACCTGTATATGTGGTAATTTGAATAAATTATGGGAAGACAAAGATGATTTCTGCCCAGCCAACCTCAAACTTTGAGGAAGGCATTATTAATGTCTAGAAAGCTGAAGATCTGATAAAGACAGCACACTGATGAATCGCAGGCTAAGTGGAGAGACTGCTACCTACACAGTAGTCCACTGCTTCAATGTTCTCCTAAGCACAGTTTGTACTGTAGTTCCTCTGAACAAATTTCCTGCTTTTACAAGACAAATTGACAAATTATAGGAGAATAATAGAATAACAAAATACAATGCTCATGTATGCCTATGAAACAAATGTGATACACATTCACAAAGCATTGATTAATTTATTCAATTCACAAATATTTATTGATAACCTACTCTGTGTTAGGCACTAAGCCAGGCAGGTGGAATATATCAGTGAGCAAAAGAGACAGAATCCTTGCCTTTATAAAGTCTGTGTTCCAGCTGGAGGAAAATTACAATAAAGAAATAAATATAACAAATAACTAAATTATATAGTAAGTTACAAATTGGTGGCTGTTATGGAAAAGGAAAATAAATGAAGTATTGGGGGGGGGAAATGGAAGTACAGGAGGCAGGGTTAAATGTTTTAAAGGGAGTTTGGCAGATATAATGAAATTGATCTATGAACAAACATTACGGAGGTAAGCCATGTGCTCACCTGCCAGGGAGACACACGGTGAATGTGAAAGCCTCAGGCAGGAGTGTGCTTGGAGTATGAGAATGCCAGTGTGGGAGGAGGAAGAGGGGAAGAAGGAATGGGGAGGGAGAAAAAGGGGAAGAAGAGGGAGAATGAGGAAGAAGAGTTGGAGACAAGATCAAACAGGTAAACAGAACCAGAGGCTCACTCTCTGCAATCAAGCAAAAAAATATTAGGGAGGAATCACCCCCTCCCACAAGCAACTGGCATGATTTCAATGTTTTCAAAACATTATCCAATTTAGTTATGTTTGTTTTCTAAATAAGTAACTTAAATACAATCAATGGTTTCCCCACCCCCCCCAAAGACTAAACCCCACATAAACACACACCCCCAAGATTGGTTTGGGTTTAAAAATGGCAGAGAGAATGCAGTCTATTTCCTCTCCCTCACTTCCACCCTACATGCTGACCTCCTTTTTCGTATTCAAACCCCCCCCCCTTAGCACCTTGACACTTGCTCCTCTTGTTGGCCTGCTTTTCCTCTCACGTCCACACTCCATGGTCCCTGGTCCCTGGTCCCTGTGGGTCTCTCTCCTCACATAACTCCTTCTCACTGAGGCCACCTCCCTACGTAAACTGCAA